GTATCAGGTCTCTTTGCCTCTTTGCACAGAGAACAAAGTCAAGAGATGCTGGTTTGATGTTTTGTTTTTGTCTTTGTCTCCTTGGGAGTGTTTTTTTGTATTTGTCTGTCATTTGTGTTATGCTTGTCATTGTCTTATTGTGGATTTTTCTGGATTGTTAGTAATCACGGGCCAAACTTCATTTGCTGGACATCTGTTTACCCCTTAACTTGGTTTAGCTTATTTCAAAAATTTTCAGAGAAAGGCTTCTCAGCTTCTCAGGTCAAAGAAAAGCACCTAAATTGGAACAGCAAAAACTGATAACCTGGCTCTGTCCTTGAAGCCTTGCACTTGCAGCTGGGAGTCTCCTACTTGGGTTGAGCTGGCAGCTGGCCTGGAGCTGCCTGTGCTGGCTGCTCTTAAAGGGGAAGCAACAGCTTCTCAGTTTCTCTGGTAAGGAACCTAATGGTTAATTCTGCTACAAAGCTTCTGTGGTCATAAAAATTGAATTCAACAAATAGCAAGGTATTTTGTCTATCTGATTTGTATATATAAGTTTACTACATTCTGTATGTCTTAGTTATAAAATATTGGGGTTATTGGGTATGTTTAAAATCTGTAACAAAGTTAACTTAAACTTAAAACCTAGAGTTTGAGCCATTCTAAACAACAAATGCCACGAGCCAACTAAAGAAACAAATCTAAAATTTGGGTTTTACTTCTTAAAACTATGGTTATGCTCCATGACTTCACTCTTAAAAAGGTACATTATTTTAATATTGCAAAACAAGTTAAAATGTTTAAGGCTATGAAACATTTTAAAGTTTATCAGGTATTTTAAAAGAATGACCTTGGACAGTCTAACAGAAAACTTGGAAAGTTTCTGAACCCTTTAGGGAAGGTCAAAAGATTTTTTTTTTAACAGAATAGCCTAGGATTGGTTGCAAATCAGATATTCATTTTATTAATTTTATCAAATAAAACCAAGCCTTACTGTTTGAGCCAATTAACAAAACTGCAATTTTAAAATGTATCGTGTCAGGATGGTAAAGACCTATGAAATGACTTAGGAAAGAAACCATGAGAAGAATTTTGGTGAAAGTTTTTTGTGTTGTCTAAAAAGAGAAAAAACAGGAGACTAGGATAGAAAAAAAAAAAAAAGGAAAGAATAGCTTGTCTAAAGTAAAAATACCTGGTTAAACCAAAAGAACAGAACTAGGAAAAGCATAACCTGAAGGTTGTGAGCCAACATATGAGAGCTGGAAACCAAACCTAGGTCTTCTGAAAGAGTAGCAAGTTCTCATAACCCCTGAGCTATCTCTCTAGCCCAGAAAAACAATTTTTATAAAATAAAAGTGTATACAAATATGTATGTGCATACAATAACAATTATTATAAAAAGTGGCTATAAATTTAAAGGAGAGAGAAGGAATAGAAAGGAAGGATTGAAGGTGAAGGGAAAAAGGAAATGTAGTAACTAAGTTACAAATTATTTTTATGAGTTGGGCCATGTCCATAATTTATGTAAATAAAAAATAAAATAAAATACAACCATATTCTTTAAGACCTAAAGTATATCTTTATCAGTTAATCATAATATACACCATTATACATATGTGTCACTCAATAGTACTTTTGTAAGATAAGAGCAAATATATATATTTCTAAATACAAATGCATTAGGAAGTTTAATTTTTTTGGAAGTTTAATTTTTAACAAGTAAATATATACTATAATTGTTAGAAAAATCTAAATGATTATTATTCAACTCAAAAAAAATTATAAATGATTGACACAATCAATGGAGGAGTGTAAAAACTGGAATGTGGAATAAAATTAAATAAGCAAAAGTTATTTGATAATTCAACAAGCAAAAATGATTTAGATTATACATAATTCACTAAAATTTTTGGTTATTTATTAGATATATATAGATAACTGGATACATGGCTATATTTATACATGAAAGTCAAACTGGAATGTTGTATAGTTGAAATAATTTCTATTATTATGTGAAAACTACAAAAAATTAACCTTTACAAACAAATCAACAGTTAGTCAAATTAATACTCAACTTTTGGAATTGAAGTGTGAACATTTAAGTAATTTGTTAATTGAGTTTTATTTGCCTTTATTTACATATTTACAATATATTATTATAGTCACCCTAACTTCCTCACATTCCTCAGATCCCTCTAAAATAACCCCCTTTCAAAAGCCTTTTTTCTTCTTTAGGATTCCATATCCTAGTGCATCCAATTATTACTGCTGATTTTCTCATGTGTGTGAGCCAATCCAATGGAGCATGGATAAGTTCTAGTAGTCAAAATTCTTATAATCTCTTAGCAAGTTATGCTATCACAGGTTTTGCAGTTAATAGCCAATTGTAAGTAGTAATTCCAGCAAAAGATGACTTCAATAGTCATTCTGAATATTCAGATTTTATTAATATGTAATTTATGGCTTTACAGAATAGTAATTAAGTACTCAAAAGAAAATTAAAAATTCATATAAGCATAAAGAAAATAAAGCTACTCATAAATCTATTTTATGAAATAGCCCATTAACATTGAGTTATAAAAATATGCATTTTTCTTAACAGACTTCTTCTTTCAAGCAAGATAATTTTTAAAGGAATTTGCAATTTTTTTAAATCAACTAAGATAGTTTAGTTAACACTGATTATAAAATGTCTAGGCAAAATCAACGTTCCCAAATGTTAACACATTATTACCATATATAACTTTCATTTTATATTATTACAAGTATTATATATTTATATGCTATATAAATGAAAGACATTTACAGAAATAGAAAAAGCAGCTTCCTACTGTTGTGTTTTATTCAGGTGCCTTTTTAGCATACGAAACGGAATGAAGAGATACAGAAGAAAGACAACAACACCAGGCCTTGACGAGACTCCAAATCGGCGAGATTCGGTACTAAAGGCCTTCCCATGTTCACTCCTAATGACTGAATAATCCAAGGTACAGTTCTTCATTCATGAGTATTGCTCCCCAAGGATTTCAGCTGTCCGTTGCTCCAACAGGAATTACAAAGCTAGGCCTACGAAGACTTCTGGATATTGATGTCCCAACGGTCTAAGGGACTACATGCGCTACAGAGTATGTAATATAGTACTGACATGTCTGTGCTACATCATACTTGGCAGCCTTATCTAGGTCAGTAGGCAGCATAAACCCTTCTGGTCTCAGGTACCGGCATTCGCTGCCATTTTGTGTTTCTTTCACATGTAGTTTTCACGGGCTTCTCTTTCATTTCTAAGAGTGAACTAGGGAATTTTCTGAGCTCATGCTAAGGATATCTGAACTCTCCTAGATCATGCTTTACTGCTGTGCCTGTTAGTCTTCTTCAGGCGATAGTGTGGTGAAGACAAACAGTAATGGATTGGGCCACTTGTGAAGAATCTGCTTTACTTACCTCATTCTTCATTAGTTTTCTTGTGTTTTCCACCAGTAAATGAGAAAATTTTATTCTGCTAGTGTCTCAAGGAGTCTCATTATGGATTTCTTTATTTTTATTTTTTAATTCTTTATTAATTACACTTTATTCACTTTGTATCCCCCCTGTGGTTCTCTCCCTCCTCCCATCCCAATCCCCCCCCCTTCCTCCACCCTCTGCATGCATGCTCCTCCCCAAATCCACTGATAGGGGAGGACTTCTTTTCCTTCCTTCTGACCCTAGTCAATTAGGTCTCATCAGGAGTGGCTGCCTTGTCTTCTTCTGTGGCCTGGTAATGCTGCTTCCCCTCAGGGGGAGGTGATCAAATGCTGGTGACGTGCGAGACAGTTGATATTCCAATTCTGGTATTTACAGAATGTTGTTCCAGAACATATGTATGGATTTTTTCCTATGAAGAGTTTAGATTCTGAACACTGCAAAGCATCACATATATAGAGATCAAATGGACCCTGGAAAACTAAGCAAACTTTCATCATTGAAATATTAAATACTTAATATTAAATAATAATTTTAAAGTTGCAACAAGTACAAAAAGCTATGGAAAACAAAAGATAAACTGTCTCAGAGAGATGCCTAGAAAGCTGGGGAAAATGTTATTAGACTAATGAAAATAATCATCAACACTGCAGTAATGTCTCACTGGCTAAGAGTGTATATGCCGTTCCTTCAGAGAAACTGATTTTGAAGCACAACAATGTCAGACAGCTTACAACAGTCTATAACTTTAGTACCAGGAAGATCCAAGCCCTCTTTATCACCAGGAAATTATACTCATGTGCACATAAACATGATACTTGTGAAAAGATAATCTTTAGAATATTCAGGGAAGTAAAGCATGTAGAGTGTTCAGAGTACCACAATTGAGGGGAAACACAGATTTCTTCATGGCAAACTCTTCTAAGGGTTAAAAAAAATCAGAAATTGTAGGAGACACTGTCGGGGTAAAGTACAAAATGGTAAATGACATTTAAGTTCTGTTGCATAGTGGGATAATAATAGTTGAAATCTATGAATTTTATAATTCAACATGAGGCTTCGAAAGTTTTGAACAATAATAAATTGTATGTTTGCAGGTGCTAAAAGGTTGATTCAATTTTGTCATGAAAACTGATATTTTCTGAAAATATAATCATGTATTTACTTCTTCAGTTTCTTCTCTGCAGTGCATTCCCACTTCTCTATTAAATTCATTGACTCTTCTTTGTTATTTCATATATAAATATGTGTGATTTATATCTATCAATATTTATAAATATATAAATCTGGTTGTATACATGACAAAATTATTAAAAGGAGAAGCTTTTTACCTGTTTGTGATACTTGATATGAGAAAATATATCCCATGTGTATTATAAATATCACTTTTAAAACGACATCATGAACAAAACATAGGGAATTGTGAATAAGAGATAATATATGCATAGATGTTTTGTCATGTGCATACAGAAGAACACAGCAAAACTGAGACATTCTTACTTACAAGAATTCTGTTGCTGTGGAACACATGAATATAACCCAAGTACAAATCAGTCAACATATTACAGAAGACAAGATAGCTTTGTGGTAATTTTCCCCAAGGCTTTTTTCATGTCCCTGTTTCTTAGGCTGTAGATGAAAGGGTTCAGCATTTGAGGGAGCAGCGTGTACATCATATACGACACTGTAGTTATCTGAGGTGAAACAGTAATTGCAGAGCAGATGTAAACCCCCACTGCTGCACCGTAGAATAAAGACACAACTAAAAAGTGAGAACAGCAAGTGGAAAAGGCTTTGTACCTTCCTCTCAGGGAAGATATTTTCAAAACAGAAGAGACAATTCGAGTATAAGAAAAAATGATTCCAGAGATTGGAATGCCACCAAATATAAATGTTGCAAGATATATTAGGATGTAATTGATGAGAGTATCAGAACAAGCAAGCTTGATGACCTGAGCAAGTTCACAGAAGAATAGAGGAAGTTCAACGTTTGTGCAAAATGACAGCCGAAGTACCATTAGACACTGTAATAAGCTGTTCACAATGCTAATGATCAAGGACAATAGAATTAGTATGCCACAGAAGTGCTGATTCATAATTACTGTGTAATTCAAGGGATGACAAATAGCTGCATAGCGATCATAGGCCATTGCAGCAAGGATACAGCTTTCTAATACAGCAAAATTCAAAACAAAGCAGGCCTGGGTGAGGCAGCCTGTGTAACTGATGCTCTGATCCTGTGTGTGGATGTTCTTCAGCATATTTGGGACAGTGGTTGTACTTAAGCAGATGTCAGTAAATGAAAGTTTGGAGAGAAAGAGGTACATGGGTGTCTGTAAATGGGAGTCAGAAATCACGGCGACAATAATGAGCAAATTTCCCAAAATTGTGACCAGATATGTAAACAGGAAGAGGCCAAATATGAGCGGTTCCATTGTCAGATCATGGGCTAGTCTCATCAGGAAAAAGTAGGACATGCCTGTTTGGTTTCCAGGCTCCATAGTGCTGGTCAACCTAATAGAGACAAAGTGAAATCAGACATAGGGTGGTCATGCTTCATCATCACTTGGGGATAGGTTAGAAATAAAATTTTACTCTCAACTCAAATGTATTCTCATGCAATTGATTTAAATACATGCTGATTTTTCATTTATTTACTTTTTATGTGTTCGAATGGAGAAGTTCCTATGCACTAAAACACATGCAGAGTTCAGAAAGAATAGTTATGCGTATACACAATGAACTTTATTTATCATGATGAAAAAAGAAATTATAAAATTTGTGAATAAATGCATGATTCTATAAATTATCATATGAAGTGAGATAACAGACTGTGTAAATGATTTCCATAGTTGAGTGTTCTAGCTTAGCTTCCCACCAGTAGTAAATCCCTTATAAGGGATTATGTAAATTTTAAAATGTATATTATTTACAAACATATATATAACTATATAGAAAATAATTAATTTATGAATGAGTTATTCATATAAATCATACCTGATCAGACTATTAACTACATTTAATGAGATTAGAAATGACTATCAAGTACTTACCTTGCTTTTGAAGATATAAAAAAAAAAATATTCCTGTGTGTGAAATACAGATAGTATGAGTATTAGGTCGTCAAGCCATATCTTCTGTAGGAGAAGGTACAGGTTTTTTCCAGAAGTAGGAAGATCTATTGAATGAGGTATTCATAGACTGGTTTTTACTTTCTCTGTCTCCCCAAGGGTTTCATATCCAAAGGTCCTCATTAGAGTAGCTATGACAGTGCCATTTTAATCCCTGGAGGTCCAGCCCTTAAAAACAGAAAGCATAGAAGTAATTTCATCATCATTGATGTAATGATTCCTTCGGAGAATTTTCTTTCTTTTTTTTACTTATTTTATTTATATTATTATTTTGTATAGTGGCTGTATCTCCCTTCCTCATCTTGTCCCAGTCTCACCCTCCCTCCCTCATCTCCCCTGTGTCCCTTCCCTAGTCTACTGATAGGTAAGTTCCTCCTCCCATTCTATCTGACCATTGCCTATCAGGTCTCATCAGGACTGTCTGGATCCTCTTTCTCTGTGGCCTAGTAAGGCCACCTCACGAGGGGGAGGTGATCAAAGAGCAGGCAAACAAGTTCATGCCATAGACTGCCCTTGCTCTCCTTACTGGGCAACCCCCTTGGAAACCGGGCTGCCAATGGGCTACATATGAGCAGGGGGTCTAGGTCCTCTCCATGCCTGGTCCTTGGTTGATTCATCAGTCTCTGCGGGCCCCCATGGAAGCAGATTTTTTTTTAGCTCTGTTGGACTTCTTATGAAGCTCCTGTATCCTACAGGTCTTTCTATCTCCCCCTTTTTCACAAGATTCCCTGCACTCTGCCAAAGTCTCAGATCTGCTTCAAAACCCCGATGCGTATATTCTTTCAGAGGCCCTCTGTGAAAAGCTCCTGTTCTTTTCCTTGTCTCCTGCCACTTCTGATGTCTATCCTGTTTGCCCTTCTGAATGAGGATTAAGCATCTTCCCTAGGGTCCTCCTTCTTTAGCTTCTTTAAGACTATAGATTCTTGTATGTTTATCCTATATTATATAGCTAATATCTGCTTATAAGTAAGTATATACCATGTGTGTCTTTCTGCTTCTGGGTTACTTCACTCAGGCTGATCTTTTCTAGTTCCATCCATTTGCCTGCAAATTTCATGATTTTCTTGTTTTTAATTACTGAGTAGTATTCCACTGTGTAAATGTACCACAATTTCTTCATCCATTTCTCAGCCGAGGAACATCTAGCAATTAAATTATGGCTTTTACAAATAAAACTGCTTTGAATATAATTGAGCAAATGTCCTTGCTGAATGGTGGAGCATGTTTAGGGTATATGCCCAGGAGTGGTATAGCTGGATCTTGAGGTAACACTATACCTATTTGTCTGAGAAAGTGCCAGATTGATTTCCAAAGTGGTTGTACAAGTTTATATTCCCTCCAGCAAAGGAGGAGGATTCCCCTTTCTCCACAACTTCTCCAGCGTGTTTGCTCCCTTGAGATTTTGATCTTAGCCACTCTGAGGGGTATAAGGTAGAATCTCAGGGTCGTTTTGATTTGCATTTCCAGGATGACTAAGGATGTTGAACATTTCTTTAAATGTTTTTCTGCCATTCAATATACCTCTGTTGAGAACTCTCTGTTTATCTCTGTGCCCCATTTTTAATTGAATAACTTGATCAATCTGTCTGTTTCTAAGCCTATAATATGCAGTTTTTATTACTATTGGTCTGTAGTACAGCCTGAAATAAGGGATGGTGTTATTTCCAGAAGTTTTTTTATTATACAGGATTGTTTTAGCAATACTGAGGATTTTTTTAATTATTTTTTTTCTTTTTTTTTTCCTTTTTTATTGTTATCATTTATTACAATTTATTGAATTTGTATCCTGGCTGTGGCCCCCTCCCTCATCTCCTCCCAATCCCACCCTCCCTCCCTCTTCTCCCCCTTTGCTCCTCCCTTAGCCCGCTGATAGGGGAGATCCTCCTTCCCTTCTATTTGACCTTAACCTATCAGGTCTTATCAGGACTGGTTGCATTGTCTACCTCTATGGACTGGCAAGGTTGTTCCCCCCAGGGGAAAGTGAACAGAGAGCCTGCCACTGAGTTCATGCCAGAGAAAGTCCCTGCTCCCATTACTAGGGACCCCACTTTGAGACTCAGTCTATGGGCTACATCTGAGCAGGTGTTCTAAATCCTCTTCATGCATTGTCCTTGGTTGGGGTATCACTCTTTTCAGGGCCCCCAGGGCTCAGTTTTTATGGCTCTGTTGGTCTCCTTTTGGAGTCCCTGTCCCCTCTAGGTCTTTCTATGTCCCCTTCTTTCAAAAAAAAAATAAATAAATAAATAAAAGTACAGTCTTCATGCAAATATTCATAGAACAGATATAGGCTAATTAAGTCTTTATATGATTGCCTGAATATGCATGGTCCATAAAAGCCATGCTAAAAAAATAAATAAATAAATAAATAAAATAAAATAAAAACAACTAAAAAAAAAAAAAAAAGATTCCCTGCACCGTGCCCAAAGTTCGGCTTTGTCTCAGCCTCTGCTTTGTTACCTCAATAAGTAGAGTCTTTCAGAGGCTGTCTGTGGTAGGCTCCTGTCCTGTTCCCTGTCTTCTCCTGCTTCCTATGTCTATTGCATTTGTTCTTCTGAATGAGGATTGAGTATCTTCCCTACGGTCTTCCTTGTTGTTTAAGGGTACAGAGCTAAAGAGAGAATTCTCAACAGAGGAGTGTTGAATGGCAGAGAAACACTTAAAGAAATGCTTAACATCCTTAGTCACTCAGGAAATGAATGCAAATCAAAACAACCTTGAGATTTCATGTCACACCCATCAGAATGTTTATTTTATATTATGTGTGTTAGGATCAATTAATGAATGATGAGGTGCACAGCAGATTTTATATGAAAGAGGTTTATTAGGTGGAGGTGAAGAGAGAGAAGGGGAGAGTGAGACATGATAGGGGAAAGAGAAAGGTGTGGGGGGACCCTGACAGAGAAAAGGGAGAGGGCAAAAGCCGAGAGAGCCAAGAGAGAGAGAAAAAGTGGGCAGGTTGATCCTTTTAAGGAGCAACATAACCAGGCCTGCCAAGGCTACCTGGCCAGTGACACATGATGACATCATCTGTTGCTAGACAACCCAGAAGCGGGCTGCCATAATACTAACATTCCTCCTTTTTCTATAATGAAGAACGTGGGCCACTTCTCATGTAAAACAAGTTAAAGTATATAAATTTAGGTTTTTTGGAAGCAGCTCTTGGTTGCTATGCAAGGGAGTAAGAAAGAAAAATAATAGCAACAAAATGGCCAGATTATGTGGTCAAGAGGAGGAGGGGAAACCTCTGCCCTGGAAAGTTTTGGGTAGAGGGTTGCCAGTAGAGAGTTGCCAGCCATGCAAGGCAGCAGGTAGAGACTGAGGAACACTGGGAGAACCTGGAGCTGCTTGGCCTGGTCCTGAAGCACACCATTCCAGCCTTTTGTTAATAAGTAAGTAACAGGTGTAGATTTTCTTCCAGTTCCTTCCTGGGGGCGCTGCAGGGAGGCCAAAAGACTGAAATGCTGACCAAGTCCAGGAAGAACAGGCTGTTTTGAGGCTGTCCAGGGTCTGTAAGAACATGCATGGCTGGGAGGGAAAGTGCAGATCCAGCTTGATGGAAGTCTATGAGGTCAGACTGGAACCCTTACGGTAGCTGCTTTGGCGCTGTTGTGGATACAGGAAACATCTGTGTCTGGCAAGATACTGAAACATATATATATATATATATATATATATATATATATATATATATATATATGCAGAAGATAAGTAGGTTATGGAAAAAAATTTTAGGTGTACATTTAAAACTTTTGGGAGAGTGAACAGAGGTGGAAGATTTGGATCAAAGAGACTTGAACATGGGAACCTCCATTTACCTGAAGGAACCTCCATTTACCCAATCACTGGCAGTAATTAAAAAGGCTTTGCTTTGGATCTGCCATCTTAGAAAATTGAGGCCAAGTTTGGTTACAGAAGTGTGTAATCTCAGAGGCCCTTAAAGCAGGCACTAGGTGTAGAAGCCTGAAATTCTCCAGAAGAACATCCCAGAGGAGAATCTGGAGGAATGGACGAATGGACTATTCCCACTGGGAAGGTATGAGTCAGTGAGCTGTCAAGGCTTCCCAAGAGCAGGGTTTGACCCAGTAGAAATGGTCCTACCTGATCCAACAGCTAGTCAGTTTTGGCCAGAGACCAAGGGTACAGCTGCCGGAAGGAGAAACAGTTTACCTACTGCTAGGATTTTCGTAGGAGAGCATGAGGGGGAGAAACTGTGCACATAGAGGGGAAAAAATCTCTCCCAGGGGAAAGAGGAAGTCCTAAATGGAGGTCAGCAAAAAGGGTCAACCTTAGCCAGTGAAGACCATGGCTGCAGAGAGCTCCTCTGTCTCAAAAGATAATAGGAAGTTGCTGGAGCTCAGCGGTCAAGCTTC